TTTGTATCATTGTTATGTTTTTGCTTTAGTTTCAATGCTTGTAAGGAATTTTTTATTAATTTTAATTAAAAATTTTTTTATAGGTTTGGGCACTTCTGTATCACTCAATTATTGGCCTTATATTTTTAATTTTGGCATGTTTTCTTTGGGCACTTGTAGATTCTCGTAGATGGTCTTTTCGATTATCTCCGCTCATTCTTGCATATGTTGAGGTTTTTTAAAAAATTTTTATTGAATTTTTTCAAATTTTTGTTTATTAATTTCTGACCATTTTGGGCTTTTTTCTTGTCTTTTTAAGAAAATTTTTTAAAAAATTTTTTAAAAATTATTTTTTAAAGTTACTTCTAATAGCTCAATACATTTACAATATGGATTTAGCAAAAGAATTAAAAAATGATGATTTACTTGAAATTATTGGATTTAAATATGAAGAGAATAAAACTAGAGCTTTTGTTACTATTGTAATCAAGGTTAGTTGAAATTTTTATAATGTTTTTTTTACCGGAAAATTACTCAAAATTATGGTAAATTATTTAGGAAAGGATGGTGAATTATTTGGTAAAAAATTTCTTCATTGAATTATTCAATTTTTAATTTTGACCATTTTGAGTCTTTTTTTAGTTATTTTTTCAAGTAGGGTTGAAAAATATTTTTTACTATTTTTCCAAAAATTGACTTGATTTTAATCTGAAAGGATTGTAAATTATTTTTTAAAAATTTGTCACTAAATTATTTTTTGACCATTTTGAGCCTTTTTTAGTCTATTTTTCTAGCAGGTAGAAAGATAATTTTTTACCGTTTTTCTCTTATTTTTTTATTTTAACATTAAAAACACCTATTTATTTTTTAAGTTTAAAAAATATATTTTTCATTGTACTTTTGTTTTTTTTAAATTTCCGCACTTTATTTTTTATTATTGTCATGGGACTTTTAGTGTATATTTTATTTTTTTTTTAATTTTTTTGAAACGGTTTAGTCTATTCAATGATTCATTTTTTCGCTTTTTTTTATCTTTGCTAGTATAATACGCGCCTATCACCTCCCAATCACCTTTTTTTTAAATAAAATATTGACTAAAAGGTAAATAAAGCAATAAAAAAAGTAATATTGAGGGATTGAAATAAGGGGGAAAAAAGGGAAGAAAAGATTAATTAAAAATAATTTTCAATGAAGAAATTTTTTTTCTTCAATTTTTTAAATTTTTTTTTTGGTAAATTTTATTTTTATTTTATTAGTTTATTTTTAATTTTTTTTCAAACATTTTTTTGGCTTGAGAAATATATAAATCGAAAAGTCCGCAAATTTTTGTCCGCAAAAATTTTTTTGACTATTCAATTTTTTTGGTGTATTTGTTTATTTTTTTGGCTTTTTTTAAAAATTTTTTCTTGTCTGAAAAGTTAAAGTTGATAGGTATAGGTTTCTTAAATTTTTTTGCTTTTACATTTTTTTTAAATTTGCGGACATAAACTTGCGGACTTTTTCATAAAAATTTTTCTTTTTCTTTTCAGCTTCTTTTAAGCCTGCCATTTTTTGCTCTTTCTCGATTAAATCTACGTGAAATAAAATATAATTTTTTGAGTACTCAAGATCGCTTAAAACATCTCAAAAATTATGGAACTTTTGATGAAAGTAATATCGATGGAAGAGGAAAATTGGTTGGCGTTGAGGAAAGAAAAGAGGTTAGTTAGTTTTTAAAGGGGAATGGTGGTTGGTATTGTAGGTAAAAAATTCTTTGGGGGTGTTATTGTAGGTAAATAGATGGGTTTTTGTTGGAAAGGGGAATAGGTGGATGAGTTGTGAGTGAAGTGATCGAGTTGGGATATAATGTCACTCCTATTTTTAATTTTATTTAAAATTGTTTACTCTTCTTTAACATTTAAGTTCAAGTTGCTTTTGGTGTGCGAGAGAGTTTTTTTTTAATCTAATTAATGGCTGGTCCTAAAAAATTTTTTTTTGAGAGGGAGGTAGGCGGATGTAAAGGAGTTGGGATAAAATGTTATCCTCTTTCCTTTATTTTTTAAAAACATTTCGAGAATTTTAAGTTTGTTTTGGATATAAGAAGGTTCAAAATTATTATGTATTGGAGGGGAAGGGGATTAAAAAATCGAATCTTTCGTTTTTTGTGGAAAGGGGAGGGGGAGGGGGATGTGAAGGACGTGGGATACAATATCATCCTTTTTTATTTTTTAAAACAATTTAAGAATAATTCTAAAATTATTTTTTATTCTTGTTTTTGATATGAGGAGATTCAAAATTATTTTTTGAGGTTATTATAGGGGTTGCCAAAATTTCCAAGTCGAGAACCGAAAGGTCCAAGTCAAGCCTGCGATATTTTGGTCCGAAAAGACTGCCCGATTCGATAAAATCCGACTCGATAAAAACAAGCCTGAAAAATGCCTCGACCGTCGGCTAGACTCAAAAACAGCAACCCTAGTTATTATCCACCAAAAAAAATTTTTTTTAATTTTTTTCGTTTTTTAGGTAAAAGAGGGCAGGGGGGTGGTGTGGGATATAATGTCTCCTCCCTTCCATTTATTTTTAAAATTTTATTTAAAAAATATATATATTTTTTTTTTCAGATTCATTTTGTATTTATATCCAAAGCTTTAACTAAATATTGGATTTTTCTGGTTGTAATTTGCCTTTTATTCAACACTCCTTTAGCTTCCAGCAACAATTTATTTTCTATTGGATTTTTTATTTTCTTTGTTTTTCTTTTGCTTATATTTCAGGTTTTTTTTTAAATATAATTTTTAAAAAATTAAAAAAAAATTTTTTTGGGAACAATTTTTTGATTTTGGAACATTTGGGGATATTTTTTGGTATTTTTGGAAATTTTTTATTATTTGTAGTATAGATTCTGAATTTTTCCCTTTCCCCTTGTGATTTTTGTATTTTTTTTATGGGAGAGTTTTTTGACTGAAAAAAAATTTTTTTTGACATTGAAAATGATTATTCATTTTGTGTTTCTTTCTATTGTTGAGAGAAATAGAGAATTAGATGAAAAAAATTTTTTTTTTGAAAATAATATTAGGTGGGATATAGTGTCATCCTTTGTACTTTTTTTTTGCAATTTTGATGAAACATGATTGTTGATTCTTCCATTTATTTTTTTTTGTAAAAGGATTTTTTAGATATTTTTTTGGGTGAAAAAATTTTTTTGAGATTTTTTCGACCAGAATTTTCTTTTGCAATAAATATTAAGAATTTTATCAGAAAATATATGTTCTGTTTAGAAACCCACGAAAAAATTTTGGGTTTTTTCAGAATAAAATCAGAATTGTTTTTTCAATAAATAATAGCAGAATTTTATTTTGGAATAAATCAGATAAGTGTATGTTTAAAAAATCTGTAGAAATTCTGGTCTTTTTTCAGAACAAAATCAGAAAATTTTTTTTGAAAATTCTGAAAAAAAGTTCTGAAAAAAATCAGAATTTTCTGAAAAATTCTGAAAAAAAAGTTCTGATAAAATCAGAATTTCTGAAAAATTCTGAAAATAAATCAGAATTTCTGAAAAAATTCTGAAAAAAAGTTCTGAAAAAATCAGAATTTCTAAAATAATTCTGAAAAAAATCAGAATTTCTGAAAAATTTTTCAAAAATAATAATTTATTTTATTTTTTAAAGATTTCGTTTCGCTTCTTCCGCAACACAATATTTGCTTTTTTAACATTATTAATAATTTATTCTTCCCTTGTGCTCATTTCAATTTATTGTTATCAATTTCCAAGTGTTCCTGAATTTTTGAATAAATTAACTGGATTAAATTTAAAATTGGCTGAAGAAATTGGGTTACAAAAATATGAGGGAGAAGATTTTGGGTAAGTTTGTGGCTATTTTGAATTAATTTTTAAAAAAATCAGAATTCTGGTTTTGTAAAATCAGAATTTATTTCAATAATTATCAGAATTTCTGATTTGAAAAGTCAGAATTTTCGTTCTGAAAAATCAGAATTTTCTGAAAAAAATTATCAGAATTCTGTTTTTATTTCAGAATTTTTAATAAAAAAAATTCTGAATTTATTTCAGAATTAGTTTAAAAAATCAGAATTTAAAAAACCAGAATTTTGCTTTGAAGAATCAGAATTTATTATAGAATTTTTAAAAATATCAGAATTTTTTGTTTTAAAAATCAGAATTTATGTTATGAACTTTTCAGAATTTTGGAAATATCAGAAATTCTGTTCTGGTAAAATCAGAATTCTTTCAAAAAATCTGATTTCTTTTCAGAAAGCATTATAATTTAGTTTTAAAAATCAGAAGAAATTCTGATTTTTTTATAAATAAATCAGAATTCTATTTTCACAAATTTTCAGAGTTTTATTCTTTCGTTTAATCAAATTAATTTCATTAATTATCGTTACAATGTTACAACTAAAATTTTTTCATCATGCATGGTCTAAACTTGTAAGAACTCCAAGTGATATTTCACAAGCAGATATTGAAATTATTGCTTGTAGTAGAGAATGATTGTATGAAAATTTAATTTTTACTTAAAAAATTTTTTTTCTTTGGGTATGGATTGAAAAATTTTCAGAATTTCTTTTTTGGAAAAATCAGAATTATACTTAGAAATATATCAGAAATTATCAGAAAATGTTTTTTGAATTTTATCTAAGTTTGAAAAAAAGAATTAAAATCCCAGTGATACTTTACAAGCAGATTTTTATTACTTGAATTCAGATTTATTTTCAATGAAAAAAAAATCAGAATTTTGGCGGTTTTTTAGTCAACAAATAAATTATTTCTTAAAAAATAAAAAAAAATTTGTTTTAAAATCAATCCATATATATTTTATGAAATTATTTGATAATTGTATTTATTTATTATGTAAATTTTTTTTTCAGCTACTTTTCTGTGCTGTATAAAATTAAAAAAAAATCTTTTTAACTCGAAAAAAAATTTTTTATTGCGCGATTCTATTTTCGCTTTTATATATTTTAATTAATTTTTTTTACAGATTTTTTTCAGCTTTTTTTAGAAAATTTTAAAAATTTTAAAAATGACACCATCAACAGCAACAACTACAAACAATTTTCTCAATAATTTAAAAGATTTTTGTTGGAGATTTTTGGAATTATATTTATTTAAATTTACATTATTTGTGCTTTTATTTATTTGTGTGGAACATTATTGCCTACTAAATTTATTTTGTATAATATTTATTTCAATTGCTCTGTCTTCCTCAACTTTTTGTGTTTCAAAAAGTGTTACGTTTGCACTATGTGCATATATGGCTATATTGTTTGTTGTTAGAAGTGTTTATCAGGTTTGGAAGAATTTTTTTTAAAATCAGAAAATTCTGGTTTTTTAATTAGAAGTGTGCTGGAGTTCAATAGTTTACATTTTGTTTGAAACCCCAGAATTTTTTATGAGAATTTCAGTTCTGAAATTTTAAGAATTTTTAAAATATCAGAATTCAGTCATTTATTGAAGAATTTCTGGTTTCATAATTCTGATTTTCAGAATTTTTACGATTCTGATTTATTTCTGAATTTTCTGATTTTTTAATTCTGATTTTAAAAGAAAAACCAGAATTTTTCATTTTTTTCAGAATTTTTTTAAATTTTGATTTTTGGTCAGCATTTTCGATTTTTTTTTCTATTATAGTTCTTATCTTTCCTGACCTAAATTCTTGGCCAAAATTCTATGAAAACCAGAACTTCTGGTTTAAATACTCAACAGAAATGACAGAAATTCTGAAACTTTTAATCAGAATTTTCGTTTCACTTTCTAATATTTATTTTTATTTTTCCAGTTTGATTTTATTCCTTCTATAGAAGATTTTCACTGGCCTTGGAATAAAACGTGTAACAGAAATGATACAATTCCATTATTTAATACAACTTCGAAATGGGTAGGGCTAGAAAAACAAAATGATGAATGGGTGGTTAGCGATTATATTGTGAGTTTTTAATTTTCTGAAATTCTGTCCGCAAGTTTTTTGCGGACAAAAAATTTTGTCCGCAAAAAACTTGCGGACACAGATCTTTGTCCGCAAGTTTTTTTTGCGGACAAACATTTTGTCCGCAAATTTTTATTTTTTTATTTTCCCAAATATTTTTTTTACAAATTAAGGGTTATACATTAATTCTCATCCTTATTGGACTTCAATTTTGTATTAAATATCGTCAACATTTAAATAGAAAATTGCGGAGTTTGGCAGAACCTCCTCCTGGAATTCTTTTTCCAAATGCTCAACCTGCTGATTTTGATAAAAGTTTAACTGATTGTACAAAATTTTTGTTAAATTATGGATTTTATAAATTTGGAATGGAGGTTTGTTTTTTATTTTTTGCTGCTTTGTCCGCAAAAGATTTGCGGACGAAAAATTTTTGTCCGCAAAAATTTTTGCGGACAGAACTTAAAATTTTTTTTCAAGATTTCTCTTGCATCTTTGGGTTTTGCTGCCTGGATGAGAATGGATTTACTTGGTGCTTTACTTGTTTTATGGTTGCTTGTTTTAATTTCAATTCCTCGAAATGCTCGAAAACGTCTTTGGCCTTTTTTAGTTTTTTATTTGGCTTTTGTTCTTCCTTTGCAATATTTTAGTGCTCTTGGTTTACCTTCAAATTTGTGTATAGGTTTGTTTTTTCTTTGAAGCAGCTTATTTTTTAGGATAGATATTTTTAGGAAATTTGGGTGTGGATTAGTTTTCGAATCCATTGACTTGGGTCAGATCCACGCCTATAGATTACATACATGAGATAACCCAGGATGCTCAAAAAATGTTAGTGCACATAATCGATATCGAAGAAGGTTGTTACTACTTTTCGAATCCACTGACGTTGGTCAGATCCTGGGCCCGCTGTCCGTGAGAGAAACCCAAGAAATCAAAGTGCTTGTTCAATCCTGTGTTCTCCATTCATGGATTCTCCACGAGAAAACTCAAAAAATAATGCTTGGGTCAAAGTTCAGAAAGAACCTCACGACTTTACACTTACCAGACACAATTTTTCTCTACAAATTAATCCATCCTTTGTTACCTCTTTTCTAAAAAATTTTTCTTCAGATTATCCATGGGATTATTGGCAACCCCTCTTCAACATTTTTCATTCAATTGGTAAAAGCTGGCAACTTTTGAATAACAACTTGTCCTTATTTTTGTGTCTACCAAATTATCGAATGTCTCCAGACCGCTTCTCTGATAACCTCAAAATTGATTTTATTCTGTTAGCAATTGTGTCAGCACAAAATAGAATGTTTAAACAAGAAAGTGAAGACCATCCTGCTGGGTCTAATGATTCTATTTATGTTTGTAATAAATACCAATTGTTAAAAGAAAATCCTCATTATGATTTTGTTATTGAACAGAGGTTTTTTTTGTTAATTTTTTAAAGTTTATTAGGATTATAAGGGGTTTTAATATTGTTTAAACAATTTCTTCCACCTTTTTCCTTTCACTCCACGTCCTCCGCGTTCTTTCTCATGGCAACTCCATCCAACAACTCCTTCAAATCTCTTCTCTCTTCTTCCCCTTTCCTCTTGGGCCGTTGTCTTTGAGAGAAACCCAAGTTCCTCCTCACACCAACTCTCCAACCTTCCTCCGTTCGTTCCTTCACCTCCAAATTCCTCCCTTTTTCCATAACAGGGGTGTGCCAGTTTTACCTTTCGCGACTTTTCGCTTTTTCCCTTTTTAAAAATCTTCTTGACATACCCTTGTTTCAATAAGAACTCCACCTCCTCCCTTTTCTCACCTCCGCCACGATGACCGACTGATTTTGGGGTGTTAGGATTAAATGTAATCCAATTTTATTTTTAAAGATTTATTTTTCTTAAAATTTTTTTTAATTTTTTATAGAAGCTTTGTTGATTTTATTAAATACATAATTTTTATGTATGGACATTGGATTACTATGGTTTATATTTTTTAAATCAAGGCCATTTTGTTAATTTATTCAGATTATGACTTTATGTGCTGGTCTAGGTGGAACTTCACTTTTTGCTTTAGGCTATGTAATCCTCGCTTTTTGGATGCTTTGGGAAGGAAATAATTTGTATACAATGCATCGGTATACAAAAACTTTGGCTCGTTGGAATACTTTGGCAAAATATACAGTTGTTATTATGCTATGTAAAATATTTCTACAGGTTTTTTTGAATTTTTTTGTGGTAATCTTGAACCTTTTTTTTACATTTTCCTCCAATTCTCTCCCCTGTATTCCTTTTGGTAACTAAATTTTGGTAACTTATTTTACGTCTGCTTAAAAAGATTAGATTTACTGTAAATACTCTAATAGAGGCCCACCTTTAATATAAGCCCATCTGGGGATACCCATTGAAAAATATAAGCCCAGGGCTTCAATTAGAGTATTTGCTGTATTTGTGGCACGTTCCCAAGGATCAGAGTTAGATGAAAATGTAGTAGGTAATTTGGAAATTGGATTTTTGGACGGCCTCTAATAGAGTTGAAATAATATATAAGAGTGGAATTGGAGGGGGGGGTTAGGTAAGTGTCAATTAAAGATTTAAGAATAGGATTTTTTTATACAAAGATTCATAAACGGGTTCTTGAATAATCTTTGGGTTTCCGTAATTGAAAACGAGTTGACGAGTTGGTCCTCGACGGGGAGGGGGCCATGGTGAACAATTTTCGTGGAGACAGCGCCACGGGAGGGGGGGGGGGGCAAGAAAAATTTTTCTTGCGCTATGGGAGGTTGGGGGCGCAAGAAAAAAATTACTCGACTTTCGGGAACAGGGACCACAACCCTATTCCGGAACCAAAAAAAATCATCTTGGTCATTCGGTTTGGTTCTTTAACGACAATCTTATTCAAGAATTTTTTTTTAATTTTTTTATTATTTTTTAAAGTTAGTTGGTTGTGTTTTTATTGGTTTAATTCGTCCAAAACAATTATGTCCAGTTCAACAATTATTCTCAATTTTTTGTGTTAATCCACTTTCAATTGGAGAACTTCAAAAATTCTTTAGTGAATTACCTAGCGACGATACAGAATTTAGTGATTTACAAAGTTGTTCAAAAGGTGGAGATTCTTCAGAAGCTTCTATTGGATTCGATGCTGTAGCGTTTCTATTTATTATTTTTCAACTGAGAATTTTGCATTCTTGGTATTTCCAAAGATGTATGATTGAATTTAGATGTGAGGTTATTCAGGCTAATAGGTTTGTTTGGTGGAATTTTTTAAATTTTGGGGGGGGGGGGGAAGAGGAGGAAGAATGTTTCTTTTTTTGACGCAATATGTGTTTAAGGGTACCTCGGATGGGTCAGATTACCGGAGAAACTTGTCCCAACTTTTTTTTCTTAACCCAAGCCCTTCGTACTTCACTAATTTTTTTTCTTGAATTATTTCATAGGATTGTTGTCCTATCAAATCCCCCCTTTGTTGTACCTCTCGTTTTTGTTTTTATTGAATTTTTATAAATAAATAATAAAGTGATTTTTTCAGAGGGGCTGTTTTAATCAATCAATTAATTGAAAAAGAGATGCGGGAACAAACGGAGCATCAGAACAAGAAACTTCGAGAAATTAAGGCACGAACAGCGGCCATCAGAAAACGTTATGAAGAACAACAGAGGCGTAGCAGTGGATATGGCGCTGTTGTCTTTTCTCCACAAACATATGGGCAAGGTTGGCGTTTTTGAGGGTTTTTTTAGTTTATTTTTAGATTGAGACTCTAAAGGTTTATTTTCGATAAGTTTCCGGAATTGTTTTACTTAAGTGAGTGTATTCCGGAATTATACATATGAAATACATTCTATTTTAAATATTTTCCGGAAAATTGTCTATTTAAATTTTGTGTGTTTTCCGGAATTTTGTGTTTTTAATTATTTTAAGTTCTACCTTTCCGGAAAAATACAAATTTTACGGAGATATTTCCGGAATATATTCTCACACCTTCCGGAAATTATATTTTCCGGAATTAAATATATGCATATTTAACTTCTATTTTTATATGTATATTTCCGAAAATGTTTTCCGGAAATTAATGGTGGTATTTTTAAGTTTTATTTGTGTATGAAATAAGCGCCATTTATCCTTATCTCATTCATTTTTCTATTTTTAATTGTTTTTTTTTCTCTCAAAAAATTTTTTTTCGTTCTCGTAATTTTTATTTTTTTCTGTCTGTTTGGAATTTTAAAAGTTGCTGTTTTTTGGATCTTTTATTTTTACTTACATTTTTTTAAAAAATCTTTTTTTTGCTTTTAATTTAAACTCTCAAGTAGTTCGTCCTCGCTCAATCATTGATATTGATGATCCATTACCAAGTTATGATCCTCGATATGCTCCGCCACCGTCAGCTTCCATTATGGGTTTGTTTTTGTTTTTTTTTTTGGAAATTTGTTGCTTGTTTTCCTTGTGTTTTGCATTTTTCCTTTTGCTCTAAATTGTGTTTTTGCTTTTATCCTGTGTCTTTACTTGTTATTTTTCCAATTGATTTGATTCCGGAAAACTGCTTTTCTACTATTAAATTTCTTTGTGTATTTTCCTTTTTTTCTTAAATCTTTTGTGTTTTCTTTCCGGAAATTTTATTTTGTGTTTTTACTTGTTTCCGGAAAATACATATTAATTTACTTATTTCCGGAAAACTTTTTCTATTAATTTTCCGGAACTTTTTGTATTTTCTTTTTTCTCTAAAACTTGTGTTTTCATTCCGGAAAAATACAAAATTCTGGTTTTAATCAGAATTTTGTATTTTTCCTTTTTATTTACTAAATTCTGGTTTTTCCACTATATTTTTAGTTAAAACACAATTTTCAGAATAAAAATTCTGATTTATTTTTTTGTGTTTTTGTGTTTTAGAAATTATTTTGTGTTTTTTTTTTGTGTTCTGTTTTCATTTTTGTGTTTTTTTATTTATTTATTTTGTTCAATGCGCGCATTCTTCCTTTATTTTCTTTTTCCAATATTTTTTTTTAATTTTTCTAATCACTTTCCTTTAAAAAAATACTAATTAAATTCTATACTTTAAATTTTTCCCTTAAGCTTAAAAAAAATTTTTTTTTAATTTTTTTAAATTCTATTTTTTAGCAAAGCGTGCTGGAGATTATTATATGTTTGAAGGCGATCCAGAAATTGATGATTTAATTGAACCTGTAATATCTTTTGTTCCAGAAGTAACACCGGGAGCTGGAGATTTTGATAAATTGGATCCTGCTCAAGTAAATTTTTTTAAAGGAATTTTGGGAAAAAAAATTTTTTTCAAAGTTATTACACACAGCACTTGGAAAAGATTTGGATTTAATCAAAACATTAGATTCTGTTGAAGAAGCAGAACAAATTAAAGATGAAAAATTGAGAATGATTGCTGCTGTTGCCCCGTCAGAAAAAGCTAGAGAAATTGCAAAATTGGCACTTAAACTTAGACATCAATCTCCTCCGAAACCGGAAACTGTTCATCATATGGATGAGGGTGATTATTATTCTATTGGTGGTCCTTCTACTTCACAAGGTTATTTTTAATTTTTTTTAATTTGGATTTTATTTGTGGGGGTATCTTACAGACAAATTATATACTTTGGGCCATCCACGCTTTAAATTATCCTTCCTGAAATAAAAGCATTGGACTTTTAGAAATATTTTCTATTGAGTTCATATGTAGAAAATTGATTTGGTAAGGGGATTTCATACGCTTTGATTTTCTGGGAATATGATTAATTTTTCTTCCCAGCCATAAGGAATTATTTTTTATTTTACTTAAAAGATCTGGTTCGAGGAAAGGTGTCAGAAAAATAATTTTTAAATTTATTATTTTTTATTTAGCAGAAAAATCAGAAAAAGATGAGGAAACGGACACAACAGATGGGATACCAATAATTCGTTTCCGCAAAAAAAGACAACAACAACAACCTGAAGATGTTATTGAAAAAGAATCAACACAAAAAGAAATTGAAGAACAACAAACAACAACAAAAATTGATGCTTATAGTTATGGTTTGTTGGGAAAAAAATTATTTAATGAATTTCTACTAGAGTTGTTGGCGACCGTTTTTAAAACCGGAATTTTTGAAATTTTTTGCCAAAAATTAACCGTCTTTAGAAATCTTTAAAAATCGAAAATGGTAAAATTCAATTTCGTACCCCCCCTTTTTTCCATCCTTAAAATATTAAAAAATGGTCTGCCAGTCTTAGGTTATAGAGCTCATCGATTGTGTCGAATGACACAAGCAACCCCCGGTCTTAACTTTGGGCCGAGATACAGACAAAAAATCTGCGCAAGGCGAAGGGTTTTGCACAAGCGTCTCCCCAAAGTAAAAGGATTACTTTGTGTTATAACTTTGTCAAATCTTCTTCTAAAACTCTCAAAACCGAAAACCGGGGATACCGGTTAATAACCGGTCGCCAACAATTTTTTTAATTTTTTACGAAAAATTTTTTTCTAAAATTTTTTCTAGCAAAAGCAATAATTTCCTTTTTTCAATTTTTGTGGAAAATTATGATTGCATTTCTTGATTGGATATCAGCATTTTTAAATAGACGTTCAAGAGAACATAGATATGTTGCTTATGTTTTAAATAAAGAAAAGGAACATTTGAAGGAAATGATGAGTAATGTATGGAGTTTTTTAAAGGTTTTTTGAATTAAAAAATTTTTTCTTTTTGAAGGAACTTTATGATGGTCAAATTTCTAGTTCTGATTTGAGGGAACGTTGGGAATCTCATAATATGCATATTGTATCTAGTGAAGAGGATATTAAAAGGTTTATAATTTTTAGAAAATTCCAGTTATCTTCCTATGATATTTATGTTATCCGAAACACACTTCTCTCACATGTCTACAACTGCGAAAAAAGTTTTTTTGAGATTATACTTGAAAAATAATTTTTTACAAAAATTATTTTCATATTCAATCAAAGATTATTCTAAAATTGAGAAGATCAGCGAGACTAAAAATAAAATTTTTCCATCAAGAGATGTCCGAGGCTCCTTACTCAAGTCTTTGGTTATCGTTTCATGGAAGATATTCGGATAATAATTATTTGGGACCTGGATTTGAGCATCATAATTCTTCAGTTCGGTTTGAAACCCTAATCAAGACACCTTAGGTTTGATTATCTTGGAAAGATTTTTCTGTCTCAGATCAGATATCTCTTATCTGATTTTTTTCTTTTTCAAAATTTTTTTCCAGATTAGAAAACGAAGCACATGATCGTTGGGCAGAAAGAAATGTTTTTGCCCGATTTATAAATGCTGTAGGAAATTGTATATGTGCACATACCGATATTATATGTTATGCTTTTGCTGTTTTTGTACATGGAAAAACTGCTGGATTATTAACTTTACCATTACCAGCACTAGTTTTCTTTTGGGGAACTTTGGCAAATCCTCGTCCTTCAAAATTTTTTTGGGTTACAATGATTATTTGGACAGAATTGGTTATTGTTGTTAAATTTGCTTTTCAATTTGGATTTTGGGATTGGAATTCTATTGCTGAAGAAGCTAAAAATTCACATAAAATATATAAATTACAATATATTTTTGGTGTTCAAAGAGTTGAATATTTTGCTGTAACTGATGTGGCTTTATTAATTGCGCTGTTTTTTCATAGGTTTTGAATTTTTTTGAAAATTTTTTTGAGGGGGTTTTGAATAATTTTTCTCGGGTTCTAGGTTGATTTAGGATCTTTGCAGGTTTATTTAGGTTTACATATTTTCCCCGGTTATTATTAACCATCGAAAAGAAGCTGAAAAGTTTGGAGCTGAAACCACAAAAAAACGCCCCACTTGTTCCTAAAAAATGCCCTACTGGTTCCTAGGTTTATCTTTAGAGAATTAACCTGGGTGTGTGTTGTTTCATGTGTGGTGTTAACGGAGGAATAATATGGGGTTTGTACAAAATTCAGCCTCCCTTTCAGCTTCTGGATACTCTTAAGAGGTGTCGGGTTATTTTCCTTTTCTGTTTTCAAAAATCCGCAACTTTTCTATCCGTAATTTTTTCTTAATCCAACCTTCACTCTCATTAATAAAATTAATTAATTAGATATATGCTTCGAAAACTTGGATTATGGAGAGATGCAAATTCCGATAGACTTTTAGCATATACTCCACAAATATTAAATAATAATAATGACAACAAAAATAATTTATCGTCATCATCTTCTTCAGAACAACAAAGTCCAAATAAAAAGAAAGGAAGAACACAAAATGGTTCTACAGCAACAGAAACTTCAGCAATTACAACAACTTCTATATCTGATGATCAAATTAATTTAGAAGAGGTTGGTATTATTAATTTTTTAATGAACAAAAATTTTTTCTAATTCTTTAAATGTGTATGTATTATCTCTAAATTTGTTTTTGTTTCCCTCAAGAGGGATTTGAGAACCTCGGAAAAGTTTTTTCTGAAAATTAAAAAATATGTAGTTCAAGGGCTTCTTTCGTTACAAGAAAAGTCGAATATGAATTTGTATTTTTTGTTTATTCATCCTTAACCCGGTTCCTTGTTTAGGGAGAACATTTTAGTCTAATTTAGGGTTGCCAAAATGGCCCGTCTCGGACCGAAAGATCGAGTCGGGCCTAAGATATTTGGCCCGAATTAGACCCGAAAAAGACTCGTACCGGCCTGACTAGATGAAAACAAGCCCTGAAAAATGCGTCAACCGTCGGCCCGATTCAAAAACGGCAACCCTAATCTAATTATAAAAAAGATTCACTATCAGATTAGGACACGGATACTGATTTTGGTATCCTTATCCGGATATTTACGACGATACAGACGGATATCCGCAAGCATTTTTACAATATTTGTATCCATGTCCTAGTCTGCTCACAATCAATCAAAAAACTTTTTTTTAAAGATTGATATTGAAAGCGGACATAAACCTACAAATACACCAGCAACGGCAGAACCTGTTTTAACAGAAAATTCGGTTAACTTTTAAAAAAAATTTTTTTTTAATCTAATTAATATATTTTAGAAGCCACCCTCACCTCCTTCAAAAATTGTACATTTAAGCGTTATTGGAAATTTTATTGAAAAGGTTTTCTTTTTAAAATTAAAAATAAATTTAATTTATTTTCAAGTTAATTTATCCAAAATTTCGTTATATTTGTGATTTTTATCCATTAATGTTCTTTTTGGATATTTTTTGTATGCTTATAATTGCTTTTGGTTATTCTTCTTTTGGTGAGGGAGGAACTGGGGATGTTGTTAGTGATATTAAGGTTTTCTTTAAATTCTTTTGGGAAATTTCTTGGAAATTTTTAGGAAAATTTTTCTGGGAATTTTTTTGGGTTTGGGTTTTGTTAAAAAAAATTTTTCACAAATTTTTTCGAAGTTTTTTTTGAAAAATTTTTTGCGATTTGAAAAGTTGACATTTTGATATCAAATAATTTTTCTTCAGAATCCCTATCAATTTTCCCCCTTTTTTTTATTTTTTGAAAATTTAAAATTTTGAGGGGTAGGGCTGTTCGCAATATACTAATAAAATTTTTACTCACATCAATTATAGTCCGCAAAATTAATTTCTAAAATCCGCAAAAATGTTGCGGACAGCCTGGGCGTGAAAAATTTTTTTCCTTGTTAGTGTAAATCCTTTCCTTCAAAATATTATTTTTCTAAATTTAAAATTTTAATTAATTTCAATTTTTTTAGAGTAATAGAATACCAATAACACTTGTAGTTATAATTCTTGTCCAATCTTTAATGATTGTTTTGGATAGAGGACTTTATTTAAGGAAAGCTGTTGTTGCTAAATTAATATATCATTTGCTTACTTTAATTATTGTGCATGTTTGGATATTTTTTATTTTACCTTTATTTACACAAAAGTTTGTTTCTTTTTTAAATATTTTTTGGGGGTTTTTAAAAAATCCGCAAATTTTTCTCCGCAAGTTTTTATCCGCATTTTTTGTCCGCAAAATTTCTGTTCGCGTTTTTAAAATTTTTTTACTTTGAACCGATTTTTTACTTGAACCTGGGCTTGTATTACCCCTTATTAAAATTATGTAGCCAAAACCTACCTTTCAGCTTATATTACCCGTTTTTCGTTGTAGAAAAATATTTGCGGACAAAATTTGCGGACATTTTTTAAATCCGCAAATTTTAAAATAAAATTTTTTTTCTAGGGAAGCATATACAAATGGAGTAGCAAGATTTTTATATTATATCAAATGCATTTATTTTTTAATTTCTGCTTGGCAAATAAGAAATGGTTATCCTTCTCTTTGTATTGGAAACTTGCTTACACACTCTTATGGTTTAATTAATATGGTTTTGTTTAAAATGTTTGTTTTCTTTTTAAAATTTTTTTTTAAATTTTTTATTTTGGGTCCTTGACTAAATTCTGAATTTTTTTAATTTTTAAATAAATAAATCAGAATTTAGAGGCTTTGGGCGTTTTGAGCCTTTTTTGATCGTTTTTCAAATTTTGACCGTTTTGAGCCTTTTTATTGCCAAAAAAATTTTTTTTTAATTTTCAGATTTATGATTATTCCATTTGTTTTTGAACTTCGAACAGCCATTGATTGGGTTTTTTAAAATTTATTTTTTTTAATTTTTATTTATAGACATGGACGGATACCTCAATGCCTATTTTTGACTTTTTTAATATGGAAAATTTTTATGCTGTTGTTTACAATTTAAAATGTGCTCGTAAATTTGAAGAAGCATTTCCTGCACCTCGAGGAGAACCTAAAGGGACTGTTATTAAGGTTTTTTTATTTTTCGGGAAGGGTTTTGGACGTTTTGGGCATTTTTCATTTTTTATAGAAATAAAAAATTTTTTTGAATTTTCCGGATGGGTTTTTGGATGTTTTTAATTTTTTAATAAATTTTTTCTAATTTTTCAGTATTTAATGGGCTTACCATTAATTTTAATAATGATTTTACTTGTTTGGTCACCAATTATTGCGTTTGCATTAATCAACACAATTGGGAATATTTCTCCTCCAGAGAGTGCAATAATGACTGTTAGCCTTGAAGGATTTCCTGTAAATTTTTTTTTATTTTTTTTTAATTTTTTGAAAATTAACAAAAAATTTTGTACTAAAAAAATTCAAAAAATTTTTTCCAAATTTTTCCAGCCACTTTATAAAATGGAAGCAAAAGGTTTAGGATTAATGGCAATAACACAGCAAGAATATAATACATTAATTAGTAATTTTTCTGATATAAATGGAAGAGAATCTGAATTAAATACTGATGTTGTTGATAGAACAAGAAAAGCATCTGCTTATATTACACAATATACAGCTAAAGATATTCTGGTAAAATTTTTAATTTAAATCATGTATTTTTAATGAAAATACAATAAAATTCTGATTTGTGTATTTTTTGTGTTTTTTATCTGAAATACAAAGCAGAATTAAAATAAAATACAAAAATTCTGATTTTAACGAAAATACAAAAAATTCTGATTTGTGTTTTTTTTTTGTTTTTTTATTTGTATACAAATCAGAATTAAAATAAAATACAAAAATTCTGATTTTAATTTATTAATACTGCAAGAATTCTGATTTGTATTTTTTTGTGTTTTTTCTTTTCTGATTTTTATACAATTCAGAATTTCTTTAAATTAAATACAAAAATACAAATCAGAATTTTTGTGTTTCATTTTTGTTTGAAAATTCTGATTTAATAAAACTAAAATAACACATGAAAAATACAAATCAGAATTTTAAAATCAGAATTTATTTTAAGATGAAATACAGAAATTCTGTTTTTGTATTTTTTTGTATTTTCTTAATTTATATACAAATCAGAATTTCTTTTTTAATTTTCTAGAAAGTCAAATTTCGTCCAGAATCTGAAACTTTTTGGCAAATTTCACCAGTTTCTTTAATTGCTTTTCGTGACTTTTTACAAAACAACAATACTGGAAATCTAGAATTATCTTTTAATTTTGAATTTAAAAGACCACAAGAAGGAAAAAAAGAGCCACAAATTCATAGTTTTACACAAAAGGCAAAAATACATGGAAAAGAATTGTTGGATGCTATTGATAATCGTTCACATTGGGTAACAGAAAATTGAAAAAAAATTTAATTAAAAAAATATTTTTTTGTAGTTTCAAGTTTTAAATGCTCTACCAACATATTTAGTAATTCCTAGTGAGGGTGAAGTTCAAATTGCAAAATTATTACAACGTGCTGCTGAACGTAGAATTAATTCTGATTCACCTTCTAATATTACAAGAACATTTAATCATTGGAAAATGAGGCTGGTTGAGACGCCGGTAAAAAATTTTTAAAATTTTTTTATCAAAAATTTTTTTCTGAAAATTCTTGAATTTTTAAAATTTGGGAAAAAATTTCTTTGCCTTAAAAAAATTTTTCTCCAAAGACTTCCAACTCAACTTATTGGCTAAGTCAAATGGAATTTAATGAAAATATTACAAAACTTACAGCAATACCTTCCCCAGAATTGATTGAATATGGATCGAGAGATTTAAATTATACTGAATTTTTGGCTTTAGTTGATAGAGTTTTTCCTTCTTGGTTAAATAGTTATGTGCAGGGAGGGTAAATAATTTACTTAATTTATTTATTCTGATTTTAAAAAAAGAAAATACATATTTTTCAGAATTTTTAAAATTCTGACTAAAAATACATGTGTGTTTTATATTTTATACGGAAAATATGTATTAACAAAAATACATACTTTTTGTGTTTTCCTGAAATTTATTCCGGATCAGAATTAGGTATGTATATGTATCTAATTTAAATTTATATGTGTTTTCCGGAAAACATATTCACAAATATATAACCGGAATGTATTTTCCGGTATTTTTCAGAATTGTAGCCAAGTTTTTAAAATCAGAATTTGTGTTTTACTAATAAAAATGTGTTTTTACTAATAAAACACCAGAATTTAAAAATCAGAATTATTTCTCTTTAAGTATTATCTTAATGTATGCTGGTATTGTTCTTTTTGTTGGCCGTTTAATTCGCGGTTTTGTTTCTTCACAACCTTTGGATGTAATTATCAATGAAATTCCAAATCCTGATCATTTATTAAAAATTTGTCTCGATATTTATTTGGTCAGGGAAGCTAGGGATTTTGTTTTGGAGCAGGTAAAGAATTTTTTTAATTTTGAAATTTTGTGTTTCGAGAAACTTCGAGTTTCGAAAAAAAATTTTTTGGCAAGAAAAAAATTTTTCGAAAATTTTTTGGAATTTTCTGGACCTCTAAAAAATTTTTTGAGCGGAAAAAATTTTTTTTTGAAAATTTTATGCAATTTTTTGGACTTCAAAAAAATATTTTTAATTAAAAAATTGTTTTTATTTTAAACAGGATTTATTTGCAAAATTAATTTTCTTGTTCCGTTCACCTCAAACTTTGATTAGATGGACAAGATACAAAACAAAACCCGAGTGACACAATTTATTTTAAATACATTTTAGTATTTAATATTTTAAATTTTTATTATTTCTCTCCCATAATTTTTGGTTTGTGAATTTTTTGACTTTTTTTTAATTTAATTTTTTTTCTGATATTTTCTGATTTTTTAAAGAAATATCTTTAAAAATTCAAAAAAAAATTTTTCTAAAAAAAGATCTTTCACTTCAATTTTTAAAATTTTCTTCTTTCTTTTTTTTTTACTTCCGCTAGCTAAAAATGTGTACCCAATTTTTTAAATTTTAGTTTTCTACCAAACCTATTGAAAAAATTTTTTCCCTTCCTCTTTTCTAGATTCTTTTCCCTTGCCAAAATATATAAAAGATAATTTTATTAAATTTAAATATATCTAGAGAGATTTCTTTTTCAAGCTAAGGTTTTTATTAATCTCTAGTTATATATTTAAATTTTAGAGACATCGAGATTATATATTATATACCTTCATTTTTTGTTTTTTTTTTCTGTAGAATAAAAAAAAGTCTACGATTTTATTATAAAAAATAATTTTTTGACTTAAAAATTGTGTTTTTTATTCACTTTTATTTATTTTTTTAATTTTAAAATTTAATTTTTTTCTTTAATTTTTAAAAGAAATATCAAAAATGTCAACAAGTGGAAGGTTGGGATTTGGAGATATTGGTATTTTTTTATTTTCTTTAGAAAAATTTTTTGTATAATTTTTAAGTGCCAAAAAGTGCTCTAGTTCAGGAATGGGATGTCGCGCGCAATGAGGTGATACATATAGGAGGTTTTGTATTTTCAGTAAAAAATACAAGTTGTGAAAGAAATGTATTTTGAATGTATTTTAATGTTTCCGGAAAATAGACTTAGAAAATACATTTTTCAAAAAATACATTTCCGGGAACTTGTATTTTAATGAGTATATACACTTCCGGAAAGTACTTTAAAAACAAAGATAAATCGTATCTTCCGGAATGTATTTTCCTGAAATATTTCTTTTCCGGAATAGTTGTATTTTGTAAATTAAATATATAACAATCTTATCCGGAAAGTATTTTCTCTAAAAAATACAATTTGTGTTTTCCGGAATGTGTTTTCCTAATAATTATATTTTTCCGGAATAGTTGTATTCTGTAAACTAGATATATAACTGTCTAATCCGGAAAGTATTTTCTCTAAAAAATACATTTACATCGTTAACATTTTTCCGGAAAACATTTTCCCTTGTAGTCTATTTTTCTCTATTTATTATTGTCTTTTAGAGTCTTAAACATTTTTTATTTTCAAGTATTTGGATGAAGGCTATTATTGTGAAATTCGAAAAAACTGGGAAGGAAAGAAATTTTCAGATGAGCATGGGCCAATAAAAATTTCAATGAAATGGCATTTTGAGAGAATGATGGGAAAGCCTCACAAACGTGTAATTCGAGTAAAAATCGTTGCGCCTTATATTGATGATCCTGAGCCGCCTAGTGAAATGGCTGGAATTTGTCCTGATCTTTGGAATTATGAATGTGTGGAATTATTTTTTGCAAATAACAAGGGACATTATACGGAGGTAGTTTTTGAAGAAAATTTAAAAAAATTTTAGGAGAGAGGAGAGAGAGTAGGGGACGTTTCAGTTCATTCTTGAGGCCTTATTTTAGGCCATAACTTTTTCAATTCTTATCTGATCTGAATAATATTTGTTTCAATCGAAAGCTCTGAATGTGTGTATTTTTTTAATTAATAGATTGTCTGTTCGGATCTTTCTACAACAAGTAACAGTCAACTAAGTGCGCGCAATCGTGATTTTCGGGCTTTATTCAGCTACAACTTTTTGTAGGATGATCTAATCAACTTAACACCGTTAAATGAAATAATCCTCACATCCAGAGCTTTCGATTGATATTAAAATTATTTAAATCGGTTGAGATTGAAAAAAGTTATGCCCAAAATATGGCCTCTCAACGAGACTCAAATGTACTTTTTTAAAATTTTTATAAAAATTTTTAAAGGTTGAAGTTGGCCCCCATGGTCATTGGCTTGTTTTACTACACAAAGGATATAGAGAATGTATAAATAATGGGCAAGATTTACAATTAGAAATTGAAAATGAATGGAAAGGTTCTGAATGGCATTGTATGGTGGAAATACCTTTAGCTTATTTGCCTGGAAGTAAGAGAAGGGAAAAAATGTTTTAACCAGAAAATCTTAATTTTAGATACCCTCCAAATTTAGTTTTAGAATAGACTGGTCATTTGGTAAGCGAGAGTACTCGTCAAAATTTTAATAGGACACAAATGTATGTACTAGTGATGCTCGGGAGAAGAAAAAACCCGGGAATCGGGAAACGGGAGTCGGGTCGGGAAATGACCTCGGGAGTCGGGAGTCGGGAATTCACATAAAAAAAATTTTTGGCGCCTTCGGCGCCAAAATTTTTTTTTTTGTCTTGCAGGCAAAAATTTTGTGAATTTTTTAAAGTGAAGAAGCCAGATGATATCTTCAATTTTTAGCACCGCAGGCGAAAATTTGAGAACTTGGAGGTCGTAGACAAAAAAATTCACTTTTCCGATCTCCATATTCCTTCCCCTCTGCATTTCGCCAAGTTCGTGGCTGAGGAGGGGGGGGGGCTTGACCTATTCCATCAAACTTTTCACAGCTTATCCGAAAACCAAACTATTCCAGGGAACTTTTCACCTATTCCATCGAACTTTCCACCTTTTAATCTTTTGAATCCCTCTTAATCTCCAATTCTTTGTCCTTTTAAAAATAAAATTTTATCAGAAAAAGCCATTCTTAGGGGTTTAAAAATTTCCCGACTTAGTCGGGAATTGACATCGGGAGTCGGGATCGGGATCGGGAGGCCAAAAACTCGGGAAATTTTCCCGAGTCGGGAGTCGGGATCGGGATACCCGAGCATCACTAGTATGTACCTATTAAAAATCTTTTATAAAAATTTTTTTAAAGGTCGAGGTTGTCCCTCATGCTTATTATCTTGCTTTTTACGAGCATCCTCCCCCTCCCTCTCCATTTTGAAAAATATCCCTCATTATAAGGACACGATCTTTTCATCCCAAATGGGTATCTAAGAACGAGATTTGTTATGATTTTTTAATTATTTATTTTCTTCCAGATATAACCAAATTTAATGCTTATGCAATACACGGTTCTGGAGATTCAAAACATTTTGAATCATTGTATGCTGTCAGTGATGGGACTTTTAAAGAACCGGATTTTCACAGACTTGAATTTTTTGGAAATATAGATACAAGAAGAATTATTCCTTCAGATTATAACAGACAGCCTTTTGATGATATGAAATATGGAAATTTGTGGGCAGAGGGATTGAAGGAGGACTAATAGTAAATTGATTAAATGAGAGGTGATCTTATGGATTTAAAAATGTATTTTTCCAAATATATCTATTTTTCCGGAAAACACATTTTACAAAAATACATTATTCTAAAATACAAAAATATATTTCCGGAAACTTGTATTTTAATGAATGTACACATTTCCGGAAAAATATTTGTATTTCTGAAAAAATACATCTTTATAAAAACAAATAATTGTATTTTCCGGAAACTATCAACCGGAAATTGTTAGCATATACAGTTCCGGATACATTTAAATGAAACATTTCCGGAAAATACACAAGCACTTATAATAGTTATATTTTCCGGATTATATCGTTTATAATTGTATTTTCCGGATTGTATTTTTAGTTTAAGTTAGCATACACATTTCCGGAAATAGATTCTCAGGAAAATACATTAACATAAATAAATTATTAATTGGTAAGACTTTATGGCCGATTGGTTAGAGCGTCTGATTAGCCACCAATAAGGTTACAGGTTCAATTCCTTTTGTCGGCAACTTTTTTTTTATTTTATTTAAAATTAATTTAAAAATTGTTTTTAATTTTTTTCTGTTGTTCTATAAATGTTTTTAATTATATTTACTTGATATACAAACGTTTTTTTACAAATTATATTTCATTTTTCATTTAAATCTCATTTTAAATTTTTTAACAAGTCATGTTCCAACAAAACAACGATTTTTGTACAGTTTGTGGCACAATTTTGCCGCTGCCTGAATTAATGCCTTCAACTGTGCAATGCGCTCTGTGCAAAAATAAATGGCCTGCTAAACGTTCGAACATTAAAAATTTTATTTTTGGGGTTAATCCTGAGGCCTGTCCATGAAGACCTACAACTTTTAAAAGGAAATATCAAGGGATTTGGTGTGATTGAAGGGAGCACCATAGGTTCTAAAATGCAGAATGCTTTCAAGATTTTATTTTTTTTATTTTCCCTGCAATCCCTCGATATCCTCTCTCAAAAGTTGCAGGCCTTCAGTTGTAGGTCTTCAGGGTAGGTCTTCAAGGATTACTAGGGAAGGAGCTTATCAACTGCAGTTCAAGGCTAGACTAATTCCCTTCCCAATTTTTTCAGTTGATCAAGAACGAAACACATTCACCTACAAACGAAGTTTCGAAAAAACCCAGCAAGATGACGACAAAAATTTAAATGTGGAAGAGGATGTGACAGTGGAGCATTTGTGTCCAAAATGTGATTATAATGTAGCTACATACACAACACAACAGACGAGATCGGCAGATGAAGGACAAACGGTTTTTTATCAGTGTGTGAAGTGTAAGCATAGATGTATCGAATATTCCTGAGATTTTGTTGTTTCCTTTTGATAAACAAATTGTTGATATTTTTGAGGTTACTTTGGGTTTACGGTTACTTTGATATAAAAGCTCAGGGTTAGTTCCAAGTTTATTTTCTATAAAGACTCAGAGGCTAGACCTAAATTCTTGAAAATTTTCTCAAATTTCTTTAACATCGTTGACTACCTCCTTAAGAAATTTCATAATTTTTCTTCAAATATTTTCAAAGTTATAGTCGATAGACCTTGAAAAATTACCAACTTTCAAAAAGACGAGATTTTTTGGCACTTTTTGAATCATAACTTTTTTATAAGTTAGTCAATAATTTTGATTTTCTGGTATATTGGAGCTTATTTAATGCTCTATCCAATGGTAGTAGAAATATTAAAAATTATCAACCCCCTGATAAGCTATAGGGCTCGGGATTGAACTGCATAATCTTGGGACTGAACGAGGAATACCCGTCTTTTTATTTTTGTGACACTGAGAGAAAGTTTGGGGTGCGACCGGTACGAATGTGTATCCTTGACCGATTTTATTATATTATTAGTTTATTATTTTCTATACACTTTTTATTATAAATTCTTTTAATAACAAAGTAAATAATTATTAATGTTAATTAAATTTTTATTTTTATTATTATTTATTTTTGATTTTGTAAAATTGCAAAATGATAATGAATTAAATTATGAATTTCCTATTGGGTACTTTGATTGTTTCCTCACCCACTGTGTTTAAGATGTACATAATGGTCAGGGTTTGCAAGCGTCTCGCAGGTCTGTTGTGTAGCTATTAGAGATCGAGCTGCATTTTTTTCCATGCATTTTTTTACCCTTCCTGGGTTTTTATTGGGCCTGGGTTTTTTCCTGGACTACAGGCCCAGGACCCGGCCAATAAAATAAACCCATAATCCAGTAACAGGTCCAGGATTTTTAAAAATCTCGATCTCTAGTAGCTATAATATAAAGGCCAAAGAAGGTGTTCATTCTAGTTGGATCATACTAGCCTGGCTAGTCATTGATCTCCTTCCTTGGTCTATTCCACCTCCCAGTTCTTCGTCTAAATGGTACATTTCTATTTCTGATAAAAATGCTTATTCTTGTGCACGTCGACGCTGGTGAATCTCGGACACCCCCGGACATAACAAAGTTAACGGTTGCTAAATTCTCACAAACCTATTTTTTTGACCATTTTGTACATCTTAAAATTAACTTGGGTGGGGCATACATAAGTGCCCTTCCGTTAACCCAAAAAAATATTTTTAGCCAAACAACAACCCAAATTTTAACAAACAACTACACAAAAATTTATGAAAATTTGTTAGAAAAAATTTCAAAATATTGCATTACAAATAAAGAATATGAAGATTTTTATAAAATCAAATTAAAACCAGGGCTTATTTCAACCTTTTTCCCTTTTTTAATTGAAGTGACTGTTAAACAAATTGGACTGAATGAACTTCGTCATTGTTTAAATTTGAAAAAACAAAAAATTAATTTTATGGATATGGTCGATGAAGAAGTTGAAGAGGTCAGTTGAGCGCTCTTGTGAGAGAGAGGGTAATATTAACGCTTAACTCCCCCCCCCCCTTTCTCCAGAATCTATGGTGGTATGTGTACCACGGGTGTGCCGAAAGTGATTTTGAAAAGCGGACAGCGAAAGACGAAAGTCCAAAAAAGGCGAAAATCTGCGAAATCCGAAAGACGAAATTAGTCTCCCTATGAGTCTAGAGAGCCTTTAGTCAAATAATTCAAAAGCCCTACTTCTATTTCAATAGGATCCGTAATCAGATAAAACTTTTTGTGGATCCTTTCAAGTCAGATTTCATTGGCCATCCTCTTTCAATTGACATATAATTTGCCTTAGAAAAGGAATAAACGCCACAAAGGGATTCGGAAAAGAGGGGAGTATAAACGCTACTATTACCAACAGAAGAAAAGGAAAATGGGTGGAAATTGGATAGTACCGATTATTCCTATAGGAAAAAAATTTTTTTGATGCGCAAAAGGCTTTAATTCAGCGCTCGACTGACTTCACTCACCCACCATATTTTAAGGAGAAAAAGACAAAATATACTAAAGAAGCATTAGAATATTTCAAAAAGAAGGTCTATAGATTTTCTGAAGACTTAGTTGCCGAATTAAAATTTTGGCCAGAAGATGTTCAAAATGCTCAGAAATTTTTAGACAAAAAATTTCCACAAGTTCGACAATTATTTCAATTAAAATGCGAAGAAATGGGAATAAAAAACTTTAAAATATTAAATAAAAAATTAATTGATGACATGTTTGAGGAGTTGAGGAAAATGAAGAGGGATGTCCATTTTAAATTTTTTGATTTAAATTTAAAGTCGTCTAGCGCTAATTTTTTAATACCAACTTTAAATTGTTCTGATCCTAAATATTTTGAAAGACTTGGATTGGATAAAAGTTAAATTGAGAGATTTTTTTAATTTTTTAACATCTCGGAATCACTCCGGCATATACATTTTAGTGATGTTCGGGAGGAGAAAAAACTCGGGAAACGAGAGTCGGGTCGGGAAATGACCTCGGGAGGCCTAAAATTCGGGAAATTTTCCCGAGTCGGGATCGAGGGGGGGTCAATTATTTACCGAGACTTGAGGATAATTTATCCGTCTTACAATGAATCGAGCCATACTCTAAAATGGCCTTTCCATTTCTACGTGAAAAGGACGATTCAGTTATTTTTTAAAAATTTTAATTTTCCAAAAACAATTTTTATTAATCAATAATTTTTATTTTGAGCAAAAAATGAAATTAAAAAACTATGAAACGGATTCAACATAGAAAAAACAATTTTTAAAAATGCAAAATAAAACAAAATGTAAAGGCAGTGAATCTGAAATTACACTTTAACTAAAATCCGTGTATTTTCTTTCCGGAAAGTTTAACACCAAAATTAAAAAAAGTTCCGGAATTAAAAATAGGTATTAGAGATCGAGCTGGACTTGGACCAAGGCCTGGGTTTTTTCAGTACCCAGAGTCCAGGTCCAAGCATTTTTTGACCTTCCTGGGTTTTTACTTGGCCTGGATTTTTTCTGGACTACAGGCCCAGGATCATTTCCAGGTCAATAAATCAAACTCCAGAGTCCAGGAACAGGTACAGGCTTTTCAAAAATCTCGATCTCTAATAGGTTAATATTTATGTGAATGAGATCTTTAAATTTTCTTTGACTTTCTCTTGGCAATGTATTGTTTTTTTAAAATTGTTGTAGAGGAAGTGGGGTATTTTTCTGATTGTTGTTCTGACCCGATAATTTTAAGTTTTTAACGAAATCTTTAAATATGTAAAAGAAATGTTGTTGCTCTCTCTCTGATATGTTTTTCAAACTAAAAATTGAAAAATAATTAAATATTGGAAGGACTATGTATCTCAGTCACTCTCTTATACATCCAACAAAATACATACCCATCTGGATGGGTGTTTAATTATTTAAAAAATTGTGGCCTAGAAATAGAGGGTTTAGTGACTTAAACAGGGGGCTTCTTTATTCCAAAAATAAGTATATTTTTTATAACAAAAAAAAATTTTTTTCAACTCTAAATAAACTAGAAAAATATATGGCCATCAAAAATGATTCGAACCTGAGACCCCCTAAGATCCTAGTCTAACACACTAACCATTCGGCCACGAACGACTCTTATCCTATAATAAAAAAAATATAAATATCTACCAGTCTCTTCAGCAATTCTATCAGGCAACAATTCATTTCCATTATTACTAATTTCTCTCCCTCCTTCAGAGAAATTTGCTGAAGTAACAATTTCTTCTGTATGCCTCCAATTAGAACAACTATCAATAGAGTCACCAAAAGTATTATCAAAAACAGGGGAACAGGTAGAGGAATTTTGGGAAGAAAAATCATCTTCAAATTGTTGGGGTAATTTTGAACAATTCAACAAAATATTTTGATTTATTGAAGGTCTATCACTACTTTGATGTGATGGTGTAGATGATGAATGTGTTGTTATTGTTGTTAGACAAGAAGAAGGTTGTTGGGAGGAAGAAGTATTTGTACCTTTTTTAAGGGGGAAATTTTATTTAAAAATTAATTTAAAAAATTTTTTTTACTCAAAAAATGAATTCAACATTTTTTTATAAAAAACTAACACAAAAAAATTTTTTTCCAACTTAAATTAATATAGGAAAAAAGTTGGGCACCAAAAGGATTCGAACCCATGACCCTACTGGGAGCTAATCTAATCACCTAACCATTCTGCCACGACGCTTACTAGTGAAAAACTAATTTATCAAATTTCTAAAAGGGAAAATATACTTTCTTACCAGAGTAAATAAAATAAGATTTTTGGCCATAACTTTTTCAATTCTTGTCCTATTTGAATAATTTTTATATCAATCGAAAGCAAAAAAAGTGGGCAATATTTTATTTAACAGGACCAATTTAATCAGAGACCACAAGAGAAGTTATAGTCAAATAAAGACTGAAAATCACGATTTTGCGAACTTATCAGGCTGTAACTTTTAAGCAATGATTTTTTCACAACGTCTTTACTAGATAAAATAATCCTAACATTCACAGCTTTCGATTGATATAAAAATTAGTCAAATCGGATAAGATTTGGAAAAGTTATGGGTCGAAAAAAGGCTGAAAATCCACACCTATCAACTTTGACTTGGCCCACCAACCCCCAAAAAATTCCTCAGGACCTGGACATCCCCCTACCTAGCCCTAAATAATTTTCATATTAACTCTCTTACCAATCCCAAAGCGTATACTCGTCCTAGGCGGTCTCGATTCTGGAAATAATTGATGAAAATGAGCTGCCCATGGTTTTGCCTGTCTCCACAAGGAGCGTCTTCTCCTCTTCCACCCTCCACTAATTCTTTGTGAGGACCTTCCCAAACTTGAAAAACTTCCTCTAGGTGTGGGTAATCTATTTGAGGATGAATTTATTGTTCTCCATATTCTCGAATTTTTTTCCGATTTTTTAAATTTTTTGGAATATCCATCCAAATATGTTGAAAAAAAGGTTTCCAATTGAAAAGAAGTTTTTTCTTCTAATAACCAAAGTAATAAACCAACAAAAGTGCTTGACATTCCTTTAAAAATAAATTTAAATATAACAAAATTTTTCGTTAATCTAAAGGGATTAAAGAGAGTGGCGGAGAGGTGACATTTTGTCCAGATTAGAGGTCGGTAAAATCGCGTTTGCGGGATCCCGCGGATAAAATTTTTTTAAAAATCTTTGCGGGACGGGATCCCGCGGGATAAATCTCGCAAAATCCCTCACTCCCGCAAATCGAAAAAAGAAAGTGCGGGATTGCGGGAGCGGTATCCCGCAAAATCCCGTCCCGCGCCAGTCTCTAGTCCAGATAATATTTTTAAAAATTTGTCAAGATGACATTTCGTCCCATAAACAAAAAATAAAATTTAAAAAATTATTAAGGTGGCCTTCTTTCTAAATTAAAAATTTTTTTACCAAGACATTTTGTCTCACATAAAAAAAATTTTTTTAACAATTACTCCGTATTAAATATTTTATTTTTATTAAAAATTTAAATTTATATTTTTCCCTTTCTTTTATTTATTTTTAAATTTATTTTTATTTATTTTTCGTAAAAAAAGTTTTCTCTCTCCCTCTTTCTCTTTCCGGTTTTTTTCTTAAAATAAAAAAAAATTTTTTTACAAAATGTCCCCATAAAATATTTATTTTTATTTATTTAATTTAAACAAAAGAGAGAAAAGGACAATAAAAAAAATAAATAAATAATAAATTTTTGAAGAAAAAAAATTCAAAAAAAAAGCAAAAATTAAGGAAGATTAACTAAATAAAAATGTTAATGACTCCAAAAATTTGAAAAAAAAAATTTTAAAAATTTTCCATTTAAGAAAAAAAAATTTTTTGTTTAATTTTACTACCATTTTATGTCCAAAAATAAAAATTAATAACTAACAAAAAATTTGAAAATTTTGGACAAAATGTCAACCCCTCTTATTAATTTAAAAAATATTTTTTTCAAAAATTAAAAAATATTTTTTTCAAAATTAAAAATAAATTTCCCAGCCCTAATCATTACCTAAAAAAATTTTCTTGAATTTTTAATAACAAGAATAACCAAAAAAACATTTTTACATGCTAAAATAAAGCTAGAAAAATGATGGACACACAAAAGGATTCGAACCCACAACCCTCATATAGCCCAGACAGACACACTAACCATTCGGCCACTACCACACACTAATCACATTAAATAAATTACGCATATATTTAAAAGGGAAACTTTTCCCTTAATTTTAGACCAAAATTACCCCCACAAATTTTTAAGAATTCAAAAAAATTTCCAAAAAATACCTGAAAGTAAAATAATATAAAAACAAGTAGATAAATGAAAATGTAATTTTTGTGGATTAGAATCATCATTTATTGGCCCTGGAAACATTAGAAAAAAATCGTTCGCCCCAGGTGTATACCAAGCATAAACACAGTCAGCAAATAGAGAGGCTAATCCACAAAATAGAGAAATTTGGCCAAATTTGCTTGGGACTGCACACAAAAATATTAATTGTAATAACCACAAGGCGAAAGCTAACCTGCAAAAATTTTTTTTTTAATTTTTAAAAAATTTTTAAAAATTAATTTCCGTTTCGGCGCAAAAACTGGTTTGGCGCCGAGTTGCTTTTTGGCCTATAACTTAGTTCAATCTCAACCAATTAAAATAATTCTTACATCAATCGAAAGCTCTAAATGTCTAGAATATTTTTCATGATGGTTCCTTTCTGATTCGTTGTTTAGATAAAAAGATATGGGCAAATAAGTGAAGCTAATCAAGTTTTTTCACTTTTCAATACCTTTATTTTGAATAATTAAATTGACCCGGCCTCTAAAGGGAAAATAATCAGGATATTTAGAGCTTTCTAATGATATAAGATTTAATATATGAGGGCGAAAGTCAGAAAGATAATTGAATAAAAAAGGTCCCTCCTTCCTTTAAGGAACCCTCAGATCCTAAAAATTATTTTCCTTTTATTTTTAATTAAAAAATTAATCTTAAAATTTTAATTAATCAAAAAAAAATAATAAAAATAAATTTAAAAAATAATAACAAACCATAAAGCAGCCATAGTATAATACCCAGCTAGTCTATACTGTTTTCCCCACAAAAATCCAGTTCTATCCACACTTAAGTATTCCATAACGCGTAGTATAGGGAAAGGAAGACCTTTCTGTAAAACTTCTCCAACTTCCATTCCACTTACTAAAAATTAAAAAGAATTTTTAAGAATTATTAGAAGCTTAAAAATAATTTAAATAAGTCTTCCAAGCAAAAATAAAAAAATTTCCAACAAACGGACTCGAACCCACGACCTCAAATATTTGTGAACCCAACACACTATCCATTAACCACCGGAATTAACTTTAAAAATTATTTGAAGGTGTAAAATTTAATTTTCAAGTCTTTCCAAGCAAAAATAGAAAAAATTTTTTCCACAACCGGACTCGAACCCACGACCCCCAAACTGTGTTAACCCAACACCCTATCCACTACACCACCAGAAATCACTTTAAAAATTATTAGAAGGTGGAAAATTTAATTAAATTAGTCTTTCCAAGAAAAACAAAAAATTTTCCCTCAGCTGGATTCGAACCCACGACCCCCAAACTGTGTTAACCCAACACCCTAGCCACTACACCACCACGACTAATTACAAGTTTTAATAAAATAAGCTTATCTACCCTCCTAAATTACCCTAATAATTAAAAATACCCACTAACCATCATCAAATTCAAATCTTTCATTATAAATTAATTTGGAATTTTGTGAATAAAATTCTTCTTCAATTTGTTCATTTTGTAACAAAGTAAGGTTTGTATTATTCAAAGAATTTCCAAAAAGTAATTTAGAAATATCACTTTCTGCAATTTGTGGAAGCTTTAACTCTCTGTTTATTTGTCTTGTTTCTGTTGTGTTTAGGGGAAATAATTGTTCCTGAGGATCACCTTAAAAATTAATATATTTTTTTATTTAGAGGCTATTTTAATTGAAAAATGTATTTTTTAAAAGAAAAATCGTTTAAATTAATTTTATAATTTTTAAAAGGCAGACAAGGACAGAAGTGACATTTGGTCCCAAAAACGAGAAAAAAATTTTTTTAATTAAAAAATAAAGGGAAAATGAATATTTTAATTAGAAAATATTTTTAAAATAAAAGAAAAATTGATTAAATTAATTTTTGGAATTTTTAAAAGGCAAATAAATACAGAAGTGACATTTGGTCCCATAAATGAGAAAAAAATTTTTTAATTAAAAAATAAAGGGAAATACGAATATATAATTTATTAGGGGTCATTTTTAACTAAAAAATATTTTTTATAAAGAAAAATCGTTTGAATTAAAATTTAATAATTTTTAAAGGAAAATAAGGACAAGGTGACATTTGGTCCCAAAAATACAAAAACTGTAATTAAAGGAAAATTATAGAAAATCCAACTTATTAAAGATCATTTTTGAATAAAAAAATATTTTTTAGAAAGAAAAATCGTTTGGATTAAAATTTTGAAATTTTTAAAGGAAAATAAGGACAAAGTGACATTTGATCCCAAAAATAAAAAAAATTTAAATAAAACTTAATTAAAAACCAACTTATTAAAGTAATATTAACATGTGTTAAACCAACATTAACACCCAAAGTAGCCTCTATTCTCTGTCTAGAATGTGCCCTCAACGTTGTAAATATTTTGATTTCTCCATAATGCCATCCTGGGTAATTTAAAGAAAGCGCTATAGAGGCCCCTATAGACATTGAAAATAAAAAACAAAATGTGGAAAGTGCACGTAAACGGCGAATTCCTGGCAATATTAAAATAAAGGCGATTGTTGGTGTTGCAAATAACCAAACTAATATTGCTAGACCCAAGTCGAATAGTACTGGGGTGGGAGTGTTGTCACCATACCTGTTTAAAAGAATAGAGTATTAAATTAGACTTCGGAAAAGAGAATGTTTTTTGGTTAGCTAATAAAATTTATGGATGTGGACAAAAAATTCAAAAAAATTTTTTGCGGACAAAAAAAATTTTTGCGGACAGAGAAATAATATTTGCGGACAGAAAAAATTTTTGCGGACAAAAAATAAAAGGTACTTGTGAGTTATCCCAAACCAGTTTTTGTGGACTATTTTGCGACTCTTTTGTATACACAGAATGGTCAGTCTTCCTCCTTTCCTCAATTTCACTCTATTTCACTATGGCATTATTTGATGAAAGGCAAACATGATTTAAAATTTATATTTAAAAATAATCCTTACTTTATTGCCTCTCATTAAATAATGCCATAGTGAAAAGAGTGAAATTGAGGAAAGGAGGAAGACTGACCATTTTGTGTATACAAAAGAGTCCGCAAAATAGTCCACAAAAACTGGTTTGGGATAACTCACAAGTACCAAATAAAAATTGCGGACAGACAAATCTTGCGGAAAAAAATTTTGCGGACTAAAAAATTTTTTGCGGACATGAAATAAAATTTGCGGATGACATTTGCGGACACAAAAATAAAAATTAAATTTAAAAAACAAACAAACCATGTTGGAGCCCCATTTTCCCGAAACGCATCAAACCAAGCAATACTCATTTCCTTTGGTTACGTATTTATTCCTCTCTTCTTTTATTTGTTTAATTAAATATTTGTTGTCAGTCTCCAAATTATTAATCGTGTAGAACATGAAGAGAAGAAAGAAATTTAAAGAAAATTTTAATTAAATTTAGACGTTCTTCTCTTTTAAAAAAATATTTTTTTAAAAATATTCCTGAAAAAAACAAAAAATTTATTTAAAAATGATTCAGCGAAAAATGGGGGAATGTGGGGGAAACGAGGGGGAAATTGAGGGGGAAATGTGGGGGAAATGAGGGGAATGAGGGGGAACTGAGGGGAAATAGGAAATAAATTTGTTTAATTGTTTGTGACTGATACTACCTTTCCCCTCCTACCCTTCCTCCCCTACCCTCCCCTACCCTTTCCTTTATTTTATAAATTAATTTGCTACAAATTTAAGCAGTAATCAATCATTTTAAAGAAGAACTTAAAAATGAGGTCGCGCCAGAA